AAAAACCGATAAACAGAATTATGTATCTTAGTGTAGTCTACTTGTGTGCCAAGTTATATTGAAGTCAGACCAAAACTGTAGGAGGAGTAGCATTTTGAAAGAATTTTACAGAAATTTCTATTTTTAGTAACCACGGCAACGCCGTTCATCGATATCAAAAACCGATAAACAGAATTATGTATCTTAGTGTAGTCTACTTGTGTGCCAAGTTATATTGAAATTAGACCAAAACTGTAGGAGGAGTAGCATTTTGAAAAATTGTTTACAGACAGACAGACAGACGGACAGATGGACGGACGCCGGACGCATTACTATCGCATAAGCTCTTCTGGTCTCTGACCAGTAGAGCTAAAAATTAACTCAATATTCACTTCAAAATCATTTGTATTAGTTTACATTAGAATATTTACTGTAAACCAACTATCTCTCAGAATTTTTTTTTGTTTCTCATTCAAGCATTATCCAAAGCGGGCTTTGTTTATAAAATACAGTATAATTTTTTTGAGCAGGGAGGGATCTTTATCGTGCTACACCTGCTGTGACATGATCCTCAGTTTATACGGTCTCATTTATGTTCTTAGTGTAGTCTACTTGCAAGCCACAGGGGATATTATAATCTAGACTACCGGGACCCCCACTGGGAAGTAGCAAATTTGAGAATTTCACAGAAATGGCTATCTTTATTAACCAAGGCAATAATTTCATTAAAGTCAAAAAAACGATACACAGAATTATGAATCTCAGTGTAGTCTACTTGAGTGCCAAGTTATATTGAAATCATACCAAAACTGTAGGAGGAATAGCATTTTGAAAGAATTTCACAGAAATTTCTATTTTTGGTAACAACGCCAACACCGTTCGTCGAAATCAAAAACCGATATACAGAATTATGTATCTTAGTGTAGTCTACTTGTGTGCCAAGTTATATTGAAATCAGACTAAATTTGTAGGAGGAGTAGCATTTTGAAAGAATTTCACAGAAATTTCTATTTTTAGTAACTGCCAACACCGTTCGTTGAAATCAAAAACCGATACACAGAATTATGTATCTTAGTGTAGTCTATTTGTTTGCCAAGTTATATTACACAGAATTATGTAACTTAGTGTAGTCTACTTGTGTGCCAAGTTATATTGAAATCAGACTAAATTTGTAGGAGGAGTAGCATTTTGAAAGAATTTCAAAGAAATTTCTATTTTTAGTAACAACGCCAACATCGTTCGTTGAAATCAAAAACCGATACACAGAATTATGTATCTTAGTGTAGTCTACTTGTGTGCCAAGTTATATTGAAGTCAGACCAAAACTGTAGGAGGAGTAGCATTTTGAAAGAATTTCACAGAAATTTCTATTTTTAGTAACAACGCCAACACCATTCGTCGAAATCAAAAACCGATACACAGAATTATGTATCTTAGTGTAATCTACTTATATGTCAAGTTATATTCGGAATTCATAGATCAAAACTGTAGGAGGAGTAGCATTTTGAAAAATTGTTTACAGACGGACAGACGGACGGACGCCGGACGCATTACTATCGCATAAGCTCTTCTGGTCTCTACTAGTAGAGCTAAAAACTACAATCTTTGTTCTCAGATGGTGAAGATTCAGACGTAGCATGCTCTATGATTTATAAAGCAAAAAACTTCCTATGAAATTAAATTTTGAAATACCATATAATTGGTAACTGTAACATATGGTTGAATTCTTTAAATAATGACTGGCTCATTACTTTAAAAACAAATTATGTATAAATAAATGATGATAAACTATTAAAAAATATTACAATTGATTGAATTTCTAAGTTTTCATGCATCAGTACTCGATTTTAGGAACCAGTCGGAATTGGACAGCTGGAATCAGAAGAGATACATGTAGCTCCCATTCAGAATTCAGTAAGTTTTAAAAAGTTGCTTTTGTTATTATGCCCTGCTATGAATATGGATGTTACACATAGTGTTTGTCAAAGGCTCAAGTGAGCTTTTCTGATCACATTTTGTCCGTCCATCCATCCGTATTGTAAACTTTTCACATTTTTGACTTTTTTTTCAAGAACCAAAGGGCCAATTATAAATAATTTGATACAAAGCATCCTTGAGTGTAGGGAAGTTTAAATTGTTGAAATGAACGGCCAAGTCCCCTTACAAGTGGGAGATAATCAAGAAAAAACAAAAAGAGGGTGGCGTCATTAAAAAATCTTCTCCTCAAGAATCACTGGGTCAGTGAGGCTAAAAACTTATGTGGAAGCATCCTTGGGTAGTGTAGATTTTAAATTATCTTTTATGCTCAGCTCTACAAACTAAATCAGAAAATTATTTTAATCAATATATAGAAGGGTTAGTTAGGAAGTTAGGTGAGGTTAGTCCATCTTTTTTGAAGTATTTTCAGGATTTTTACTTATGTAGAAAAGAAAAGTGGGCTATGTGTTTTCGAAATGCAGAATACTATAATATAGACACAAATATGTTTCTTGAAAGCTTTCATAATCAGTTAAAAAATATTTATTTTGAAGGAAAACGAAATCGCAGAGTAGATGTCCTTGTAGAAACATTACTCCAGATTGAAAATAATCTCTTTTTCAAACATTTTGCAAAGAAAACCTATAACTTACCATCAAAAGAAGATGTTAAAGTTAATGACCGTCATGAAAATAGTTTCAGCATTTCAGAATCAGATGTTTCACAAGTAAATGAAAACACTTTTATGATAAATTCACAAAACAGTATCTATACCATAGAAATTCATTGTCAATCCTGCCCAGAATCACATTGTTTAGTCAAATGCAAGAAAATTCCATGCATAAATTTATGTCGGCACCTCTTAACTTGCAACTGTCCTGACTATAATCAAGGGAACATATGCAAGCATACTCATAAAGTATTTGGTATCATTAATAAAAATAAAGAAACAGACATAGAAGGCCATCAGTTACATGTACCATCAACTAATGTACCAGATAAAGTCCAAGGTGTAAATTCAACTATTACCTCACAATCAAAAACGACAAAAATCAAAGAAATTCAAGACAAATTAAAGATAATATCAGATCAGGTCCAAAATGACAAAACTGTTCAAGATCATAGGCTAGACAATGTGCTTCTTGCTTTGAACCATATAATATCTGCAAATGAAGGTTGCAAAAAAATATCAAGGTCATTTCTCCAGTTCTCAGAAACTGAAAAAGTAACATCAAATGCTATAATTGAGAAACAGCCCAGATTTAGGCGTACAGAAAAAACTGCTGGGAGAAAACGAAAAGCACCATTACGAAAACCATCTGAGGGTGAGAAAATCAAACTTTTGGAAAATTTGCAACAAAATCATGAAATTCAAGGTGAAGACTCTGTTACTAATTCACAGAACTCAAATTCTGATCAAACATCAGGTAGAGATAACGAACCAAGTACAGCTTCTGAGTTAGGACCATCTGTTGCCCCATATCCTCCACTAAGATTAGTTCGTCCTTCTCAGCCAGCAAACGTACCCATACAAACAACAGAACCCTTATTAAATGTTTTTCAGCAACAAGGTCTACCTTCTTCATATAGAATACCCCCATCTCTGTATGGTAGAAGAATAACAGTTATTCAAAATAACAGAAAACAAGATATATTTCATAATCAATCAGGAAAACCGCCAAAATATGGCTGAAATATTGCCGACTTGGCGTTAAACAATATGAAATCAATCAATCAATCAGGAAAACCAGATGATGATCTTTAAGTTTAGTACTCAATAGTTTTTAACCATTTCATCATTTTTCATAGATTTCCACTACATGTACATGTATCGAGCAACTTGCATAGAAAATTTTACCTGTAAAACTTGCAAAAATGTGCCCAGCGTACCCTTAAACCTCAAGGAGACCTCCGCCATTCCTATGCCAGAGATGAAGCACTAGCCATCCCCGATACTCCGAGGAGCCCCTCTCCGCAGCCCAGGCCCCCTACGCATACCCCTGCGCTCAGACAGCTCCTACACTATATCCAGGAGATGATCGAATTGATGGCCACCTAAGAAGGGGAGATGTGCCCTCGACGCCCCGTAGTCACCATCCAGGACAGTGCCGCCGCGCAGCCAGGGAAGGGATAGGACGAGTTCCATGTTGGTGCATCAAGGCGCCGGCCACCATGCTTGAGCGATGCCCGGTGTGCTTGAGGCAGGACCTCCCTTCTAATTACACGTGTTATGGTTGCCACAAGAGGCCGGCGTGTTTAGCTGTTCAGTTTTATTCCGTGGAGAGGAATCGTGCATGTCCCATGTGTCGACACCGACGTTCACCTTGGACCTAGGAGGAACCCGCCTCCACCCCACCTAGGAGATCAGCCTTTATACTGAGTAGATCCCAACAATAACTGTATGTGTTAAAATGCACCAGGGAGTAAACCCTTGGGAAAACAAAAAATCAAAACCCAACGGACCACTCACCTCTTCACAAAAAATGCTTTTTTTATACAGCTCCAGAAACGATTGTCAAAGAAAAACAGCAGGCCACTGTTTTTGATATTCATTTTTTTTAGATAATAGTAACCAAAGATGACATGGACAAATATGCAGAACTTTCAAAGCTTGGTCTTGATGTAGGAGACTCTCGCTGAAAGTGTGGCATCTTCAACCATTTCTAGCATGTGATTGGCGAAAGAAATTACCATACAAATTTGAAGAAATTCTAGATAAATTGGCAGATGATGAAATTTTTCCCATCATGTGGAATTTTTGAAAAATAATACATGATTTTTTTTACCTCTATTTTCAATGTTTTATACCCTTTTATTTTTTGGGAGGGGGGATTTTTTTTTGGGGGGGGGAATTAATCAATTATTCAAATTATTCATTATGCATTAATTTTAATCCAGCGACCTTTTCATCGCGTTGTGACGGATCCAATAGTGCATGTTAATTTTTTAGGTCACCTGAGTAACTCAGGTAACCTATTACTATCCGCTTTTTGCCATCGGCGTTCGTCGTGCTTTAACATTTGAACATGTTAAACTTCTCTAAATCCGCTCCGCCTCACCGATTTTAACCAATTTTGGAATATAGCTTCCATGGATGAATGGGGACTAAAAATTATGAATTTAATGGTCTATGCCCCCCTGGAACCTGAGGGGTGGGGCTAAAACCATAAAAATTCATGTTTTCTTAAAAAATCTTCCTCTTTACTCCTGGGCATCAAGCAGCCAAACTGTTGGCATGATTATTATAAGCAGTGAGCCCTCTACTAAAGTTATGAAATTCATGGCCCAAGGGTCAGGTGTTCTAGCACTACTCGGGCGGGGCTATATAAATCATATAGTGAACGTGCATTATGTGTAGGGTTATTTTCTTACCTGTGGTTGTAGGGTTTGTCGTCGTTGTAGAGGCATTGACCGTGCTTGTTGGGTGAGACGGTGGAAGTGTTACTTTCTCTGTCGTGGTTTTTGATGGTGGTATGGTAATCTTTGGTGTCGGTTTGGTGGTGGTTGTCTTCTTTGTTGGTGTTGTCGCTGAGGTAGTATTAGGAGCTGTAGTCGAGGTTGTAGTTGTCGTGGAAGTAGTCGTTGTTGTCGGTGTCGTCGTTGTCGTCGTTGGTGTAGTTGTCGGTGTTGTTGTAGTTGTCGGTGTTGTTGTTGGTGTTGTTGTTGTTGTCGGTGTCTTGGTTGTCGGTCTTGTTGTAGTTGTCGGTTTTGTTGTCGTTGTCGGTGTTGTCGTAGTCGTTGGTGTTGTTGTCGGTGTTGTTGTCGTTGTCGGTGTTGTTGTCGTTGTCGGTGTTGTTGTTGTCGGTGTTGTAGTTGTCGTTGTTGTAGTTGTCGGTGTTGTAGTTGTCGGTGTTGTTGTTGTCGGTGTTGTTGTCGTTGTTGTTGTCGGTGTTGTTGTTGTTGTCGGTGTAGTTGTCGTTGTCGGTGTTGTTGTCGTCGTCGGTGTTGTTGTCGTTGTTGTGGTCGTGGGTGTTGTTGTAGTTGTCGGTTTTGTTGTCGTCGTTGTCGGTGTTGTCGTAGTCGTTGGTGTTGTTGTCGGTGTTGTTGTCGTTGTCGGTGTTGTAGTTGTCGGTGTTGTTGTCGGTGTTGTTGTCGTTGTCGGTGTTGTTGTCGTCGTCGGTGTTGTTGTCGTCGTTGGAGTTGTTGTCGTCGTCGGTGTTGTTGTTGTTGTCGGTGTTGTTGTCGTGGTCGGTGTTGTTGTTGTTGTCGGTGTTGTTGTCGTTGTCGGTGTTGTAGTTGTTGTAGTCGGTGTTGTTGTTGTAGTCGCTGTCGTTGTTGTAGTCGGGGTAGTCGTGGAGGGAGTAGTTGTTGTGGAGGGAGTAGTTGTGGAGGGGGTAGTCGTTGTAGGTTTTGTAATAGGGTGTCCTGAAACGTCCTCTTTAATATTAGATTAAACTCCAACCGAATAAACAAAGCTAACAGGAAGGTCAGAAAATATATCATTTTCCGTATTTCCTAATTTTTTTTCCAACTTTTTATTGAATTTACAGCCCTCCTTATTTCTTAGAAAACACGAAGCAAAAAAGTTATCTACCAAATCTCAATACTCTAGATTCCTAAATATACGCGTAATATTACTTATCGCGTAATTTCGCTACGAGCACCACAAGCGAAATGAAATATCACGCCTTTCCTTTTATAGTGCTGAAATCTATGTTAGGAGAAGTAAGGAGACGGGGCCTATTTTGGGAAATGTTTACTATGACGTCACACATAATATAAAGTCTTCAAAATACGACAAAATGAAATTATTTGCTATTTCAAACAGCTGGATAGCAGTGTACTACATGCAAACTTACTATTACATGCAGTTTTGTCGCTTGTTAAAACCCACACAACAGTACTGTATATTCCTAAATATACGCATGGAATTAATTATCGCGTAATTTCGCGAGAAGCACCACACGCGAAATAAAATTACTCGCCTTTATTTTTATGGTGCTGAAATCTATGTAAAATATCTTTACAAACCGTCCATTCGCGAATTATTATTCTCGCGGTTTGGCGTTGAAGAGCTCGTTCGTGATAATAAGTACTCGTCTACACTATATAAACGATGCATCGATCGCAATGCACTTGTAAATTTGACGTCATCTCGTCAAAATGACGTAGTTTGTACACAGTGAGAGGCTGATCAAGTCACATTTTGTACAATGAAAAATGTCTTTTGTCCTCAAACAAAACAATATTTGCAATTAAATAAAAGGCCGTTAACTTCACTTGTATGCGATGTCTATTGTAATATATTTTTTGAATTTCTGTCTGTACATTCTCCAGACAATTGATACCGTTGTGTTTTTGTAGGCAGATTCATTGAAAAAGTATTAGCAGGGCCCTGATAAATCCATTTATTGCAATGGCATACCCTCAATGTATCTTATCAAGTTTTTACACATAAACTCAAGAAGCATAAATATATTTGAAAAGTGCTGCGAACCTCATGAAATCTTGCAAATAAATTAATTATAATTATATTTAATGTAGTTCACGAGCAAAATATTCAACTTGCCGTCCAACAAATTAAATTTTAGCAATTAAAAAGGGAATCTATATAGGTTCGCAGCACTTTTCACAAACTACATATAGTGTTGAAAAAGATTATAAATTAAACTAAAATTTTTTTACTTGGTTATGCCCTTGCAATATTGAAATTAATAGATGACCTCTAAACTACCAGTATAATTGCTAAAATCATGTGACGTCGACATCACGTGACAAGTCTAAATAAAAAATCTAAATGTCCCCATACATGTAGATTTAAACCTCATTACATTTTTTTTTATATCAGTGAAGTCCTAAAAAGAATCACCCATCCTAATTAAAGATGTATTTTTATCTTAAACCAGAAGTCTCTGTCGAGACTGTAGCTCTACTGGTTTATACTTAAAACAAAGGAAGAGAAAAGAAGCAGTTGGGACTTGAGACTTTAAATCAGCAATAAATAGAAAAATGATCCTTGCCACTCATCAAAATAAAAACCAATGCACAGAATTATGTATCTTAGTATAGTCTACTTGTGTTCCAAGTTATACTGAAAGCAGACCAAAACTGCAGGAGGAGTAGCATTTTGAAAGAATTTCACAGAAATTTCTATTTTTAGTAACCATGGGCAACATTGTTCATCGAAATCAAAAACCGATGCACAGAATTATCTATCTTAGTGTAGTCTACTTGTTTGCCAAGTTATATCAAAATCAGACCAAAACTGTAGGAGGAGTAGCATTTTGAAAGAATTTCACAGAAATTTCTATTTTTAGTAACCACGGCAACACCGTTCATCGAAATCAAAAACCGATGCACAGAATTATGTATCTTTGTGTAGTCTACTTGTGTGCCAAGTTATACTGAAATCGGACCAAATCTGTAGGAGGAGTAGCATTTTGAAAGAATTTCACAGAAATTTCTATTTTTAGTAACCACGGCAACACCGTTCATCGAAATCAAAAACCGATGCACAGAATTATGTATTTTAGTGTAGTCTACTTGTGTGCCAAGTAATATTGAAATTGGACCAAAACTGTAGGAGGAGTAGCATTTTGAAAAAATTTCAAAGAATTTCTATTTTTAGTAACCACGGCAACACCGTTCATCGAAATCAAAAACCGATGCACAAAATTATGTATCTTAGTGTAGTCTACTTGTGTGAATTATATTGAAATTGGACCAAAACTGTAGGTGGCATGCATTTTGAATAAATTGTTTACAGAACCACTGTGCCAGGACAGACGGACGGACGACGGAAACATCCTACTAGTGCATAAGCTCTTCTGGTCAAATCTGACCAGTAGAGCTGGGCCACAATGGCAACCAAAATTTTATGAAAATCGAAAATTTTCGGAAAAAAATTCTTTAAATATCTTCTTTAAGAACAACAAAGCCATAATTGACCATAATAGAATGACTTCGTAGCGTAGTGTGATTTAAATTTGTTCAAATCATGACTTAACCCTGCGGTATGGAAAGAGTTCCAAAATACGTGAAGTTTTTATTATCTATGAAAATTCTTTAAAAAGCTTCTCAAGAATAGCAAAGGCATAATTGATCATATTAATTCCGTCCGTAATGTCTGTTCAAGTTTGTTCAAATCATCCCAGGGGTAGGGTGGGGCCAAACTGGCCGCTCAAACTTAATGAAATATATGAAACTTTCAAAAATCTTTTTCTCAAGAATAGCAATGCCATAATTGATCCGATACATTTATATGGAAGTTTTCCATCCACAGGTAGTGTAGATTCAAGTTTGTTCAAATCATGACCCCCGGGAGGTATCATTTAGTGAGCTCATCGCTCGCAGTACCAAAATTTTGTTTTAGAAATATCTTAAAAATAGTGAAAATTAATAAATAATAACATATTTAAACAATGAAGCACACAATTGATCCTATAAATATGTAAGCAACTCAGGTTATTCAGTTAAAAACTTCAATTTTATTAAATCAATGACGCCTTAGGGCAGGGCCACAAAACCAAAGTTGTTTACATAGACATATATACAAATTCTTTAAAAATTCTTGCAGTAGCAAAGCCTGACGTCATATATTTTGGATTTAAACGAGTTTTCACTAATAAACCAATTTCACTTTTTCCAATGCGGACAGTGCCTTGTGAAACTAAGAACTTAATTTAAGCCCTGTTGTAACAATTTTTACATTGGAGAAACACAACCCACAGGAAAGCTCTGATTCAATTATAAACAAACAGCATATTAAGGATCTTAGAATTCTAAATATTAAATTATTGAACATTTAAATATTTGACTACCCTGTAAGAGACAAGGTTTGACCATTTTATAAGATGCTGCCTGGAAACCAAATCCAATGAACAGAAAAAGAGAAACAATTCATAAATAGCCAAACCTTAAAATTACGTTCGTAAATTATTACGTCACATCAACGACAAAATCTAATACTTCTAACTAAAATAAACTTGATTTTTATTATTTAAGATTTTTAAAGGAAAGCTAGCTTATATTTAAAAGAAAGTCCCGTGGGGACCGGGTTAGAATTGGTCCTCAGACCCCTTTGCTTGTCGTTAAAGGCGACTAAATGCTCCGGATGAGACCGTATATACCGAGGCCCCGTGTCACAGCAGGTGTGGCACGATATGTTTTGGATCCCTCCCTGATCAAAGGCCGTAAGTGCCGAGCATATGCCCAAATTTGCAGCCCTCAACCGGCAATGGTGACGTCTCCATATCAGTGAAATATTCTGGAAAGGGACGTTAGACAGTACACAATCAATCATTTACTTTGTTGTCTTCGTGTTTTCATTTTTAATTACTTTTACTAAATATATAAACCTTATCTCAAATATTAACTTAAAAAGACCGAAAAGAAAAAAATGGAAGGAAAAATGAAGCAACTGATTGGCAAAGTTTTACCTCAAGTGTTCTTTTTTCATTAACAAAAATCTTTGGAATTGATTGAACATCGTATTATCCACTATGACGTGGATATAGACATCGCAATAGCCCTGTTCCTATTATCCAGCAACATTATGAAGAATGTAAACAGATCTGGTCGATTTCTTTCGCCTTATTAGAAAAAGGAATCGAGTGAATGTTTACGTTGAAAGAACTGAAATTGAATCATCTCAAGCTCCTCCAGCTTCTGTTTCTAGAAAAGGGATTCTCACAAGAATGAGGAACGCATGGTCAAGGATTAAAAAGATAGGAAGAAATCGGGTTTATTCACAACGAAGTGAATCATTTTAATTTTACTGAGAGAGAGAGCTTTGATGATCACGTGAGGGACATTTCTGATATTCTTAAATGTTGCACAAAAATCTAATAGGTACAGGAGTAAAACAAAATTGTTGTGAAGTTTGTATATATCAATTTCGTGGTCTATAGTACATATAGAGTTCTGGGAACAAAACTGATTTATTCTTAGGAAACAAATATTTTACTAGAAATTCAACTACCAACAAAAGAAAAGGTATTTCCAACTCTTTATTGCGATTTATACAATAATCCCCTAAGCAAAACCAAATAAGAGGACAAACATCCCTTGAAAATTTACATCAGAATATCCTCATTTTTTTTTTATCCTTGTTAATCATTTGTGCCTGGCCAATTTAAACGCGTTAATAAATTCTAACTTTAACTCTCTACGGACATGTAAGGGGAGCGTGAGCGTTTCACATGCTTTTGTTTGAATATGTGCATATCGGACAAACGGAAGGAATAAGAATATTTAAAAGTCAAATGTTAAACATCATAACATCTCAGTAGAGTGGAGCTTTAGAATAACAATCTCCACACATTAAACAAGTATTAGGTTATAAATATAACATGAATTGTAACAGAAATGTAAATCATGACGCTCAAGTATGCCGTGAAATGATGTCATATTCTATTATTACGTCATATCTAGGTAGTTCAGAGAAGTAACTACATTATCTTTCCAAGCCGCATTGTTTATACATTAACACACGAGCTAACCTGAGATTGCATCCACATGATTTATTTCTAATAAAAATTTATAAGATCCTGCACTGTACTTGGATATTGAATACTGTTCATTATCTCTATATATCTCATACAATTTCTTTAAATATAAATTACATCCGCATGTCTCATGTTTTCAGTACGAATTTACTTCAACCCTCCGGTAGAACTTGATGGGATAAACAAATGATATAACTAAGGTTTATTATGCATGAAATGCCCGTTTTAAAATTTGAAAGGAGATTGAAACTCTGCGTTAAAAGATAAATCCAGTGTAAGAGCCTTGTACATCATAAACATATAAGTAGTCCACATGCTTTTTACCTAAGATTTTCAAAGATGTATTAAATGTATTATCACTATATAATTATTTCAGAGCCCCACCCTAACACCAGAACCCCTGACCTTGGGGTCATAAAATTCACAATTTGGGTAGAGACATTCGTGCTCATCATAACTATGTACTTACTTAGTTTATTTAACACCTAGAAGCAGAGAAAAAGACTTGAAAATAATTTTTGTATTTGCAGTATATAATCAATAGAGCCTCGCCCTAAGACCACAACCCCTTACCCTGAGGCCATAAATTTCACAATTTGGAAGAGGCATTCTTCCTCATCATAACTATGTACATAGTTAGTCTATTTAATACAGAGAAGATTTTAAAAGAATTAAAATGTTTTTACTGTATAATAAATAGAGCCCCGTCCTAACACCAGAACCCCTGACCCTGGGGTCCTGAATTTCACAATTTAATGCATTTTCACTCTATAATCAATAGCGCCCACCCTAACACCAGAACCCCTGACCCTGGGGCCATTAATTTCACAATTTTGGTAGAGGGCTTAATGCTCTTAACATTCATGCCAACAGTTTGACTGCTTGATGTCCCAGAAGTAAAGAAGATTTCATTAATTTTAGTGTTTTTGGCCCCTCCCTTAGGCCCCAGGGGGGCGGGGATTGTGAATTTTATATTCACAATTTTTGTTTCCCTTCACCCATAGATGCTGTGTACCAAGTTTGGTTAAAATTGGTTCAGTAGTTTCAGGGTAGAAGCTGAAAATGTGAACGCACGACGACGGAAGAAAACGGATAGCAATAGGTCACCTGAGTTACTCAGATGACCTTAAAATAATCACAGGGGGATGGGGTGTACCTAGTGTCAGTATCATGCTTTTTGGAGATATAATTTTGAACAACCCTGACGTGTTCTTAAAAACAAAGGGGGGGGGGGGATTTAAGTGTACAGTGCCTTTGAAACAAAATGTGATGAGAAGAGGATTCAAAAAGTGTGACACAATCTCTTGAGTTAGCTACGCATAAAGAAAAACACCAAAAGAAGATGGGCGTATTTGGCGTGTAATCTACAGGAATCATTTGTACGAAACATTTATTGTTTAAATGTCCATGATTTGGTTGGCAGAACATAGCGGATCAGATTTTACAAACATAACCATAATAATTATAGAATTTTTTCTTTTAGTTTGAAACACATTGTCATGTTGTAACATTTATAGCCGTTTTCCTAGGAGGCACAATAACATAGTAATGTTTCACATGAAATAAACATTTACTAGGTTAAAGACATAGGTGACAAGTGTACATATTGATATACGTCATAGAATATATAGAATATTGGAATTGATTTCGACCTAGAACCAATTTTTTTCTAATTAATGCAAAATTTTAATACATGTACATGAGTACATGAAATAAAGTGACAAAATTATTGATTGTTTGTATTAAGATCATGGAGAAAACACCCAGAGTTAGAAAAAAAAAATTAGAGAAAAGTGTTTAAAAATGTTCCATTTTGTTCAAAATGTATGATCTATCCATTTTCAAGGGTTTTTTTTTTTAGCAAATCAAAATTCATTTTCGTGAAAATATGTTCCTTTTCTATTGTACAGGAACCTGATGAATATTAATATGTAAAAATTGCTTGTCAAAAAAAAGTCACAAGTACGCCCCGTGTTCCTGCTGAATGGAAGCACCCTCGTTCTTTTTGAAGAATTATTTCCCCTTATGGGATGAGGAACCAAGACCTAACACCAAAGGTATAACTGACCAAGCCTTGTTTTATTTCTTTTAAATGTTTAAAGTGTATAAGGTATATCGCACTGTCAATATATAATATTAACGAGGCCCGATCTAGTTGAAAATTACGAAAACGGAATGATAAAAAAATTTAATTTTTGGAAATATTTTTGTATGTATTATGCTAAGAAAAATTAGAATGAAATTTGGTTACCTTGCCTTTATTGTAGTCAAATGGGGGCACTGTCAAGATATGGACCATTTTTCGTGTTTTTATACACAATTACATAGTAAAATTCTCCAATAAACAAAGAAATTGAAAATTAAAAAAAAATACATGATGAAATGTTTTGTTTTTCACATATATCATGCAATTTTCATTCTTCTTATAAAAAATGAAAAGAAAATTGGAGGTAGCCTTTATTGCAGTGAAAAGGGGGCATATCAAAACACAAAATTAATATTTATTTTATCCAACTAGATATGAAATAAGTCGCCGTGGGTTTAAATAACATCAACAAACGATTGCAATACTGTATTAGTTTCTAAAAAAATAAATAATTCTTACATTTTGAAATAATTTTCCCTCCATGCATTATTTTTTTCTTAACACGCGACGTTGTTATACATGAAAAAGGGGGGGGGGGGCGACAAAAAGGCGACAAATAACGAATTTTACTAATATCATGTATTATATAGAAAAATAAAATATTTCGGGGGTTGCATTTAAATGTTTCATAGACTGATTTTTCTTAACTCAAGCTGATCCATGCATATTTAAGTCCTCAAGAAAAAAGGGTGTGTATAAACACTTCAACATGTTCAAGGAGAAAGACTAAAATCGTTTACTTTTGGTTGCAGTATTTGTTTTTTTTAACTCACAAATTGAAATAAAACAAGGTAAAATTAATGAATATGTACCAAGAAATTGATATCTCAAAATAAATCATGTTCCAAAGTTGTTTATTAATTAAATTTTTAAAAAAAATGTAAATAATAGAAATACCAGCTTTCAACATGTATAGTCTTTAGAGCTACCAGGTATGCAAGATCAGCGAAACATTTTAGCGCAATTTGACGTCATTTTAATTGTGACGTTATTGTGACGGCAGTCAAGGGTACTGTGACGTGCCTGAGTCGACGCTGCGTTAAAACGTATGCGCAGTTCAAGTAGATCGGGCCTCGTTAAAAGATTTTAAAGCCCTTTGCATAAATTATCCCAGGTTTCCCACTGTCATTGATTTCCCTGGCATACCATACCATGCATACTAAGTAGACAGAGATTCCATATACTCCCATTTCACTGTGAGTTCTTAAAGCAGCGCCTGGGCGAAGAGAAAATGCAGACTACAGCACATTCATTTGTCAGATTTCTTTTCCTCAGTAACTTTAGACCCAGTCGTTAAAAGCTATGTTCTCCCGAGAATAGCAGCAAAAAGTTCAATTAAAAGTTAAAACTCCTAGATTTAATAGATAAATATTAAAGATAAATTGTAAATGAAACGTTCTTCATTTACTTTAGCACTGTTCAGGCTTCTTTTTCGTAAAGTAACTTACATACGACCTCATTTAATGTTAGAGTCTAGACGCGAGTAGTATAAGGGGTCTAGATGGCGTGGTCAACTGAGTGCACTGTTTATGCAAATGAGGTCAAAAATGGAGGATTCTGATTGGCTGGGGGGATAGGTGGAGTCAAGGGAGTGCAGCCCCCTGGGGGATAGGGGGGTCAAGAGAGTGCAGATTGGGGGGATTGGGGGGTCAACTCACTACAATCCTTGGGGTGGGGGATAGGTGGGTCAATTCAGTACACAGCCCCTATGTCTTATACGGGGTGTTTACACTGTATATAGTTTTTTTACTATACGCTGCGACTACGTTTTGTTTTACTATACTTTGGTACTACGATTTTTGGCAGCGACTCAAGAATGTGATTATGACGTCACACTTTTCATTCACAGTCTAGACAGCCTAGTCTAGCCAGCCTAACCAGTTTGAACTGGATTTTCTGAAAACAATAACAAAGACAGATTAGAACAATGCACATTTTATTCAAGTAAAATACAAAAAGTAAAATGATTTTAATATCCATTGTATCGACATAAGGCACAATATCTGTAGCAGTTCACTGTAAACTTCTCTATACATATCTCACAACAGGGATACTGACCACATTGTCTGCATTTCCATCTCCCTTCGGTCTTTTCTTCCCAACAGGTGGGACATCTCTCTATCTCTCTGTTTCTGGTAAACTTAGCCCAAGGTGGTATCATATGGTCTACCCCATTTTTCCATAGGAAATATTTTACACACCAACTGTACCCACATTCCTCTAAAGAAGGGGGATCTTCTATCACCCAGTGAGGTATAGGTTCTCTACATTTACTACATCCCCAGTACCAATCAACAACTTCTTCCGCATCGTTGTAGCCGACGTATTTTATTATATCTTTCATCTCCTCGTGACAGTGATGGCATATTTTCTTTTCTACCTCGAACAAATACATCATTCTCCACACAAAAGTCATGATGGGTACGATGAGCGCAGGGTACTCCTAGCTCCGCTTTATATACTATAGGTTTATTTAGGGTCGTGTGCAAAAAAAAAATTACCTTTTACCTGCATTTTTATACCTGTTGCATCATCTGTAAGGACCGTGTGCAAAAAAAAATTGGATCGTGTGCAAAAATAGGTTGGACTTACCTATGGATTGTGACGTCACCCACTGTATAAATAAGGCTTTTCTCCTACTTTCGGCTCATTTTACCCTCAGAGCCATCAGCTGTTGAACATGGATTCTACTAGAGAAAAACAGTTACAGGCTCAACGATTATTGAAACGAAAAAGAACCGAGAGAGAATTAGATCCACCACCCAAACCGATTTCTGAGTATTATCAGATAAGACTGGGTGCAGAAACTCGCTCTACAAAATTTAAAGCGCATGAAAATAAATATATCGTCCATTTCAAAGAATTTCCATAAGAGGAAAACACAGGATTCGTTCGTCGATTATTCAGAGACATGTTACAAACTTTCAAATCTAAAATCAGTGTAATCCTAACGATTACTTCCGCCTGAACCTACGTCATCATTCTCTGGATTCAGAGATTTGGTACCAGTTTACGCAATGTAAACATTTAAACGAAGACCTCATTTTAGATAAAATAGAAGCCGTGCAACAATCCAAAAAGGAGTTCAAACTGGGTGACGGCTCCCTGGAATTCGATCTGTTTCATGTCGAGTATCCCGAGGGGAGTGGTGGAGACAGAACCAAACATCTACAAGTGAATAAAGAAACTTTCAAGAATAATAAAAGAGCCATCGTTCGGATCGTCAATCCCTGGGATAAATTTTGTTTGGCTAGAGCCATTGTCGTCACTCGATTACACAGTCAAAAACCCGAACATCCAGACCCCGAATGGGAAAAACGATGGAAACGCATGAGATTAGGAGATAAACACCAGAAACGAGAAGCCATAGCTCTCATGGAACAAGCCGAGTGTGATATCACTCAAGCTTGTGGAGCCCGAGAATGGACGAAATTACAACAGGTATTAGCTCCTCAGTACCGACTGAAAATATTTCAGTTCAAGTTTACTTCGACTAAACTCTGTTTAGAACCTATTTACAAAGGTTCTGGAGATGGAACTTATTTGAACATTTTGTTCGACGATCATCATTACGATGCCATCATATCCATGCCGGGAGTAACGGGGAACCCCTATTACTGTGATCACTGCAATGTGGGGTACAGGAATGTCACAGACCATCGGTCCAAGTGTCCTAATCGCTGTCCCTTTTGTTTAGGGCACCCTAAATGTCCCAAAGACGGGAGCAACATTCGATTCCCCTAAATACACACAACTGATGTTTTATTTTAAGAAAGAAGTGTTGTTATAAATACAAAGGTCTTAAGGTCTAGGGTTTCAGTCTTAGATTGAACATGGCTGAGAGTAGTGGGTTTTACATGACTTTACCCAGTGATGGGTCTATGACCTCTTTTCCTAGCAATACGACGGCTCAATTTAAAACCTTATTACCTCAATCTCTAGATTTAACCGACGGTCAATGGGAAGTGGCTTTGACGGAAATGATCTATCCTTGTAGTATCGAAAATATCAGTGAAGAAGAAGCTTATCTGGACATATGTATGGTGGAAAAAATCCCCCCTTTTTTGAAAACATTTCCCCGGGGGAGAAACTGGATCTGTACGACCCGGATAAGTATCAATGGGGAAGGTTTCAACTCTTGAAAAGTGCTTCCATCACCTTTGCCGATACTCAATTGTTAGTGGGATGGAGTCAAGCGTATTGGTTGAAGGGGACTTATGATCCAAAAGAGAAATTAAATTTGTATTTTTTTATTTAGACCGGGACCTTATGCCAGCCCTGAAGCACTTCTAGCCGAAATCAATGAAGGTTTAGAAAGATGTCTGAAAAACATCTGGAAAAAACATCAGACCTGGACAGGCCCTAAAAGCAGGAAACCAAGAGGTGCAATCATGGTGGCCGGAGATGAGTTGTATGGGGCCTTAAATCCCTCCTTAAAGAAAGTTCTAGAAGACCTGAGAGCAGAAGATGAAGAACCCCCTAAAACCGAGATGAGATTTACCTATCGGGCCAATTTCGATCGAGTGAATTACGTAACTCATTTACGTCAAATTCCCGTCTTTATAAGGTTTCCCTTAAGTCTGGCTTATAAATTAGGATACAACGGTCGCAAATTGGTGCCCGAAAATTGGACAGAAAACACCACTAAATGGATCAACATCAGTTACATGGCTCCGGACACTCCGGATTTACACCGGAATTTAAAATCCATGTATGTGTATTGCGATCTCATTCAACCCCAGACGGTTGGCTCCAATGCCTTGAAACTCTTAAGAGTGGTGCCTTGTCATTTTGATGACAAAGAAAAACAATGTAAATGGGAACCCATGCGAGCGGAATATGTCCCTTTGAATAAAAAACATTTCGATACCACTGAGATTCACATCATGACTCCTTTAGGACAACCCATGCCTTTTTTAAGTGGCAAATCCATCATGATACTTCATTTCAGAAAAGTCTACTGAGATGAGTGTACCCTTATTGTGTTCCATCTTATTGGGCGTGATGACTTGTCTGGTCTGCTGTCTGTATTGTATTCAACCCTAAAAAAGGGTATAAAAGGAAGTCCCTGAGGACAGAAAGGTCAGTTAAACAAGAGACATGAACCATGCAGTATCATCCCGGATTACTGAGACAAAGAGGACACGGACAGTTTGTCTATCATAGAGGTTTATTACGTCAAAAAGGACACGGTTTTTAGGATCCCTATTTAAAGTAGCAGCTCCCTTAGTCAGCAATCTAGTAGGAGGATTATTGGGTCAAAAACAACAACCACCACCAGCCTATTATCCACCCCAAAACTATCAAAGAGGGGAAGGATTTTTCACGGATTTACTGAAAACGGGAGCTAAACACGCCTTGACTGCTGCTGCTAGAACGGGATTAGACGTATTAGAAAATAAGAGATCTTTAAAAAACGCAGTCAAAACTCACGGCGTAAGAGCCTTGAAAAATACTTCGGGAATGGTGAAACAAAGAATAAATCTAGGAGGTACTAAGAACAGAAGAAAGAGAATGAAAAAACAGAGAGGATCGGGAATGAAAATAACAAGAAGAAAAAGAAGAAGACAGAGAGGCCGACACTACTAAGTCAAAAACGTACTGACATTCTCATTTTTTACTGACAAACTTAGAAAATTACTGACAATGTGCTGTCGTTACTGTAAAACTTAGACAATTACTGACCTTTTTACTGCCGGTACTGATAAACTTAGAAAAGTGCTGACAATCTTAGTCGGTGCTGATAAACTTAGACAATTACTGACCCGTTTACTGTCCCTGCTGAAAAACTTAGACAAGTGCTGACATTTACTGATAATTACTGTCCCTATTGTTCTCGCTCTCGGGGAGGCTGCAGTGGTGTGAAATTGATTTTTTTTTTAACATAGATTATCATTTCATTTATTTGTTTTTTCATATAATTTTTAACTATGTCCAGATGATATCTTTGAAAAAAAAGCTTCTTTGATCTATTTATAGAAAATTGATTTGTAAAAAAATATTTTCAAGAGAAGGGATAAAATTTCAAAACCTTCAAAAAGATAAGCAATTAAAAAAATAAAAATCTTCCTTTAGTAGTGAGATATGAAATTTTACAAAGGTCTTTTCCTTTTTATAATAAAACAATGTTATTACATGACATGCATTTTATAATATTTTCTTAATTAACATTGACTCCCTGACTTTCTTTAATATTAATTTAAAGAATTAAACTGTTAGGTTAGATGTGTTTTATTCAATTTTAATTTAATTTATTCAAATTAGTTTGAATAATTTTAATAAACTCATAGCGCGCGGTGAGGCCATGGGTGCCCCTTTTGAAGAAAGGCGTTTGTTATAGTTTTCATATTATGTAAAAATTTTAATTGTGTGGAGGCCGCCCATATTTGTTTTTGTGCAGTCAAACATACCCGAATCCAAGCATTTGCAAGAAGAAACCAAAATTAAAAGACATACGGGGGATTTAAATTAAAAAAAAGAAGTCTTTTTATTTTATTCATTTGGCAGGGGGAGGGGGGCTACGGGCCTGCACTGATCATTGAACCTTTGACATTCATTGATTTAGTTACTGTCCGCATTATTCTTTTGAAATAATGTACATCTTTTAGCTGATTTTCGAATCTGGATTTTCTGGATCCCCACCTGAGAGTGTTCTTTTAATTCGAATACATGAAAAACTATGACATTTTATATTATCATCTTTTGTCTATGCATACTCCTGAAACAAAACTTTGATAGAAATTAATTTCAATGTTCTTTTCAATTAGAGTGTTGGTAGACATTCACATGGATCTAGTTTCTTTTTGTCTTTTCAAATTAAAATGGGGGGGGGGGGACGTGCGAACTAAATGAAGAACGATGAACATGTACTTATTTATTTTATCAAAGTAGAACACACAATTAATACTGTCGTGTTTAAGTTTGTACTCCTTTTGATCTGTTTAGGTACAAAAAATCTATAAATTTAATTAACTTAATAAATCGACGTTTCATAGCTTTGTTCGGTATTGAAACCAGTATCATGATTTTACAGTAACACTGTGCTTTTTATTCGTCCCAAATTATTCAAGTCGTTTAGCTGGTATCCAGCCGAATTACATAATTATTCAACATACAGTCGGAAACTGTGTGAAGCACCTGTGTGTAGAAGAAATCGCCTGAGGCGATCCGAGTGTGTACGGTAGCGGGTAAAGAAGACAATAGGTGTCACTGCTGTATTATACAGAAGAACACTCGCCGGATTTCACTGGAAGTTAGTTACGCAACATTACGGCGACAGGTAGACTCTTCTTCAAGACAGTTTGAATTTCAGAAATTCAACACCAACACATACGTAATATAATTATTATGCAATCTACAATCCTTCAACCTCTTCTTAGATTAAATAAATATTTTTTTTTAATATACCGACGTAAG